TGTATGTTTCAATTAGGTCACTGCTAAACTCCAATAAGTACAGGTCCAATCAACTCCACTTCTATCCACTTAAAGTATCTGTACTTAGGTACCCACTACCTAAGATGGCGCCAAAACAGCGACATTACAAACTTTTCACTGCACTCATTCAAGTGCATATGACAATAAAGGCTATTCACTTCTATTCTAAGAAGGTTACTCCATAACCTGGATTAACCTTGTGAACTTTCTCTACTCTGCCTCCAATGCCAGTATATCCTCCTTTGGATAAGGGGACCAACGGTGTTCATTGTATTCTAGGTTGGCCTCCCTTAGCAAGACATCCTTATTTTTATACTCTACTCCATTTGCCATCCTTATTACCTGATCAACTTGTATTCTAGCATTTTTGAGATTTCTGCACTAGGACACACAAATTCATCTGTGCAATAGCTTTCTGCAGTCTTTTTCCATTTAAATATGCATAACTTCACATTTTTCCACACTGAGTCATCTCCGTTACTTGTCTTCCCACCTCTTTTTGTTGTCGACAAACTTGGCTATAGTTTATTCACTTAACTCATTCCAAGTAATTAATGTTAATAATTAAACAGTGAAAATTTTACAATTATTCCAATGTGTTCCATTCTGCCTTCTTTCCCAAAAAGGAAGTTTATAGTGTGACAAAATAAAAAAAAAATTTCTTTCAAACTTTTAGTGGCAAGTGCCCAATAAATTGGAGAAATTCTGACTTGTGCTGCTTTGTTTTATCAGTATTGGGAATATGAATTGCACTGCTTCTGGAATTAAACAGGGTGTATTGCTTCAATGGGATTAATTCAGCCCAATTAGATATAATATATCTGGTTTCTCAATATGCCTTTGAAAAGCTACCCGATAATATTTTAATGAATAAAATAAGAGCGTGGAAAGGAGGAACAAGGGGAAGAATGGATTGCTAGCTGGCTCCCAAGACAGAAAAGTGGGCAGTTGAGTAAAATGCAATTATTCAATGTCAAAATGCATAATGATCAGACCTGGAACCATTTCTTTACTTATTTATGCATTAATGAAGAGGACTGCAACAAATTACAAAAGAGAAATGAATTTGCAGTCTGAGCAACTAATTGGCAAACCATCTTGCAACGTAGGTAACATAAGGTAGGACATCTTGGTAGAAAAATTAGGAACGTAACATTGTTTGGAAGGGGAACATAGAGGTGGGTAAAGGAATAGAGATTTGTGTCCAAGAACAACAACCACTAAAAGTTGTGCCATGGGTTTGGACAAATATTTTTCTTTTTTAAAAAAAGGCAAACAAAGCAGTCACATTTATTGTAGATGGATAGAACTGAAGGCGAGGTAAGTTCTTCTATGTAAACAAACCATGGTGAAACCACATGAAAAAGTACATATGTTTGCTCACCATGTTACAAAACTGACACAGTAGATGGTGCAAAAATGATGTTTTAAAACCTGGTACTTGAAATGCATGCACATATATATCAGAAAACATTAACGTGTCTGTTTTCTCTTGGATAGAAAAGTTGAGTCACCTAACGGATGTTTAAAATAATGAGACATTTTGCGCAGGATTGTAACTAGAGTCCTTTACTAGTCTCCAGAAAAACCAACAGGGAAATTCAGAAGAAAATTATTTACCAAAAGTGGTGAGAATATGGAACTTTCTACCAAAGGGAATAAGAAAATAGTGTAGGTGTATGAAATGCAAAGCCAGACAAGCATTTGAGGGAGAATGGCATAGTTCTGTGCCACTATATTCTCAACATGGAAAATTTGCTGTCGTGCATCAGGTTTCCCTAAAAACGTGACAATAATCAGGACATTGTGGGAAGCTAGGGAAGAAATTGCAGGGCCCCAACAGAGATATTTGTATCATCTATAGCCACGGGAGACTGTAGGGTGTTTAATGTTGGTGCCCTTATTTAAGAGAGGCTGCAAGGAAAAGCCGGGGAACTGTGTACTAGTGAGTTTGATGTCAGTCATGGGTAAGTTGTTGGAGGGGTGCTACAAGTCAGGATTTAAATGCATTTGGAAAGGCAAGAACTGATTTGGGGACATTCAGCATGGGAAATAGTGTCTCAAACTTTATTGAGCTTTTTGAGAACGTACCAAGAGGATAGATGAGGGTAGAGTGGTTGACATTGACTACATGGACTTTAGCAAGACCTTTGACAGGGTTCTGCATGGTAGACTGGTTAATAAAGTTAGATTACAGGGGATCCACTAAGAGCTAGCCAATTGGATACAAAATTGGCTTAGTGGTAGGAGACAAAGTTGTAGAGGGTTGTTTTTCGGATTGGAGGTCTGTGGCGGGTGGTGTTCTGCAGGGATCAGTGCTGAGTCCACTGCTGTTTGTCTCTCACAAATGGTTTGTATGAGAACATAGGAGGCATTGTCAGTAAGTTCATGGATGACACCAGAAGTGGTGGTATAGTATATAGTAAAGGTTATCTGAGTACAGTGGGATATTGATCAGTTGGGCCAATGGGTTGAGGAGTGGCAGGTGAAGTATATTGAGATAAGTGAGCGGTGTTGCATTTTGGTGAGACAAAACAGGATAGGACTTACAATGGTAGAGCCTTGGGGAGTGTTGTCGACCAGAGACCTAGGTGTTCAGGTATATAATTCCTTGAAAGTGACATCAGAGACAGGTTGGTGAAGGTGATGTTTAGTACACTTGCCGTCATTAGTCAGAGCATTGAGTGTAGGAGTTGGGAAGTTGCGTTGTGGCTGTACAGGACATTACTGAGGCCAGTTTTGGAGTGCTGCATACGTTTCTGGCGGCCCTGCTATAGGAAGGATGTTGTTAAATTGGAAAAGAGAAATTGGATAGGCTGGGACTTTTCACTGGAGCTTAGGAGGTTGAGGCATAACCTTTGTTTATACCCCTCATGATTTTTTTTAAACCTATATAAGGGGAATAGTAACTGTCTTTTCTATAGTGTAGGGGAGTCCAAAACTGAATGGCATCTTTTTAAAGAGAGGGAAAGATTTAAAAGGGACCTGAGGGGCAAACGTTTCCACTCGGAAGCTAGTGTGTGTATGGAATGAACTGCCAGAGGAAATGGTAGAGGCAGGTACAGTTTTAGCATTAAAAAGACATTTGGACAGGAACATCAATAGGGAAGGTTTGGAGAGATACGGGCCAAATGCAGACGAATGGGACTAGTTTAGTTTGGAAAACCTGGTCAACATGGATGAGTTGGACTGAAGAGTCTGTTTCTGTGCTGTGTGACTCTGCGACTCTATAACAAATACATGCATTTGTAAAACAAAAGGCACAATGATCAACGTATATTAAATCTTCCATTTACCTCTTTAATTTGTTAATAGTAATGCATAACAATCAACTTTATTAAACATTTGCCTGAAACCTTGGTATAAGGAGTCAAGAAAATTCAAAGAGAAGCTTTTTCAAAACAGCTTTTGTTATCCTAGCTGCAGTGGAATGAATTTTCATCAAAATATGACAACATGCAGATATGGCAGCAACTGATACTTCAAAATAATTATGTGACATCTGTTTTTCGTGACTTGTAAAACTTTGCACGATCTGAATGATGCAAGATTTTATAATCTGTGATGATGCCTTGGACTCAGTCAGCTACACATGGAAATGAGAAGTGGTTTACATATACAAGACCAGGAACTTCATTATTAGGAGCAATCTGGAAATGATGAGTAACGTGTATATGAAGAAGGGTCTAGGCCTGAAGTATTTGTTTGGCAAGTTACACAAAGCCTTCATTTTACCACCCTGCCTTGAAGCCATTTCTTAAATCAAGCAGAGTGTTTTGTTATTACTACTGCCAACCATTGGATGGAGATAGGCCTCGACTGACTGTGAACAGTATTTTGCAGCAACACCTATTTATTCAGCAAAATGCACGCAAGCAAAATCCATTTACAGCCTATTTGACACCCTGTGAATGACAATAAACAGAATTCATGAACAAAACTGTGTGCAATCTTTCCCAATAAAGCAAGGTGATTGTGTAACCATCCTCTATTTAAGAGCAATATAAAACGTTCATAAGAAATCAATAATTTTTATTTGGTCACTGATTCATTTATATAGTTTCACTTTTGAAGATAAGTGGCATGACTGTTCTGCCCTGAGTCATAACTGAAAATGTGGCATTAGAATATCTTTGTTCCACAAAATTGAATCATTTTATTCTCAACCTCGGAAAGGGCTAGATGCTAACATTAAACGTCATAGACTTGAACAACTAGATGTAGCACTTGTTTGTTTTCTGATATACTTACAAGTTCGGATGGCTTCATGCTGCAACTGAACATAAATTGTTATAGTGCCTTCCCAAGATATCCTGTTGCAAAAACTCTTACCCAAAAAGTATTGATTTTTATTTCCAAATAGGAATCATATATAGTGCCAATTTCATCCCAGTGGCTGATACTTTGCTTGTCAGACCACTGGTGAGTTGTAACATCGGGACTTCAAAATCAAGTCTGTGGTAAACCTAGTTTGGTAACATGGGTTTTGGGTGGACAGAATCAGCCAGGTTCCATCAACACCCAGTAGAAGTGCATGTGATCATTTTGAACATGTGCAAACTTGGCCTTCCCCATACAAATGGTTGCTGTTCATCCATCATTGAGCCAAAGCTCGGACAGCCCAAAGTCATTGAGCTGTTAGACCATAAAGGACACATGAGATACCAATTTTTATCTCCCCTAAATATCCTCGCGCTTTGCTGGATAATGTTCACGTGCACTGAGGAGCATTGCCTTTTTCATTCCTACTTTTAAAATGTCTTGGAAGTTCTGTTACAACCACACAATTCTGCATCATTCCATAGAGTTCCTTCTCAATTATTCTTGTTCTGTGTCACTCTATGTCTCACCAAACATTACACCCACAGCCGGTTAATGAAAGCACTGTAATATAATTCAGGTGCAATGTTTTTTGTTCCAGCAATTAACTTTGCTGTGTAACGTGCTTAAAGTTGTTATGTTATGAAGCTTGAGTAGAGACTGTTTGTAAATTTCTGACTGCAGAGATAGCTTCAAGATTTGGTCAGGAGCAGACAAGTGATTTTAAGTAGATCTGTTTTGCCGTATGAAATGATGTTCTCTTCATTCATTTATGGTAAGAAAATTAAGAATCATTATTAGGTGACAAAGGCCAGTACTTTGGAGTTTGATCTGATTGACTAGCAAGAAATTTAAGTTGACTAGAAACCGGCAAAGTTGTGACTGCTTTTATTGATTTTTAGTGAGTCATGAGGTTTTAACTTTGTGACAGTCTGCTGGAATGTACTGAAGTTAAAGCTGACAATTGCACAACAAATTCCAGGTTTGCGACTTCTATAAGTTGCCAGCTATGGCAGATTCATGGGTGTAGCTGATGGCCTGCTGTTGGCAATAAGGAGGATTCTCAATTTCAAATGAATGACAGCTAGTACATTACAACTTAATTTCTAGCGAGGGCTGAAGTTAATTCCGTAGCTCACTAGTGAAGCAAGTCTGTTTGTAGCCAGACAGAAACATCCATGCTGAACTTTCACAACTCTTTGCCCATATTCTTCTGTATCCTTGCTCTTCTATTACTAAACCAATATCTGATTAAATAGTCCCTGTTTCACTAACTCTCTTATTGTATAGTGTTCTTGGTTCTAACAGTGTTTATTTGAGGATTTCTGCTATTATTGTCTTTTTTATGATGAATTTGCCATTTAATTAAAAACTGTCTCACATTTGGGAATGTCTGATAGAAATTCCCTTGACCTACCCTGTTTCAAAATAAAGCACATTTTTAGAGCCATTCATTTTGCACCTTTTCATTTCTGCAATTAGTCTAATTGATCTTCACTTTAATTTTCAAAGCCCTAATGTATTTCCTATAATGTCATGCTCTAAGGTTTGTTTTCTAAACTTTTGATCTATAAGAAAATTCATGGGTTTATGCAGACAGGCAAGAAAATTAAGTGAAGTGAAGGTCACAGTTAGATCAACCATGACTTTATTGAATCATGCAAAGGCTTGAAAAGCCAAATAATCTGACCTCCTTTCTTGTAATCCATCTTGTTGCAATCACACCAATTTTAGAATTTCATTGCCAATATGCATACACAGCTTCCCTATTTAAACATTTGGATTAATAGTTGAAACTAAGCAGATTCTCCAGAGGGTCACATTGATCATCTAATGGTATCACTGCAGAAATGAGAGCAGTTACATGTCTGCTGCCTTGGATGGATAATTAATAAATTGTAAAAGAGAACAAAAAGGATGCCACTTTTTTTGTTTAAAGATACATTCTAGTCCAGACAACTTGGATGTGCTGTGGAAGACTGATCTCAAATTAACTGAGCATAATACCTTTTCTTCTCCAGGTTTTAGTAATAGAACAGAAGAATAATGATGGAACTTGGCCAAGGCAAACATCTCAAACAAAGTAAGTTATGATCATGTGGGATAACATTTCTTGAGACTGAAAATTTGTGACGTGGCGGTGCTGGTGTTGGACTGAGGTGGACAAGGTCAGAAACCACATGCCACCAGGTTATAGTTCAACAGCTTTATTTGAAAACGCGAGCTTTCGGACCCTCACCCCTCCTTCAGGTGTTAGTGAGACACAGAATTTATACGTAAAAGGTCAAAGGGTCACACCACTGCTGAGGATGTACTGAACAAACTTAAGATGCTGTAATGATTTTAATTGATATGTATATGTAAATCCCCGAATTCCTTTCAAGTCACTGTCCTGTGAGAAATAAAGGTTATATCAGTGTAAAGCAATGACATTTTAGGTCAGACAATGCATGTTAGGTGTGAGATATAACAGTGTGGAGCTGGAGGGACACAGCAGGCCAGGCTGCATCAGAGGAGCAGGAAA